CATAACTGAACATGATTATTTGAAGGTTGGCGTTTTTTGTATTAAAAACACTTTGGTGGGATGAAATATGCTAATATTTTGGGACAGGCATTTTGGGTTTTCATGAGCTGTATGCCATAATCATCAGTATTAAAACAATTAAAGACCTGAAATATTTCAGTTGGTGTGCAATGAATCTGAAATATATGAAAGTTTCATTTTTATCATTACATTATGGAAAATAATGACCTTTATCACAATATGCTAATTTTTTTGAGAAGGACCTGTAAATCCAGCTGGTCTGGTTCTGTCTGAATTCTGTCATCAGCTGACGAGCACAGAAACATCTGCACCTCTGCACAGTTCCACGCTGTTACCCTTTTAGAGGATGTCTATATTTTAACAATCAAAAATTGTTTTTGTGAGGATTGTTTCAGTTCCACTGCAGTCCTAAACAATCGTTTAAACCCTACAGGTTCTGTAAAACACTGTTGAAGTTCTGTAAAGTTTTGTTTTGTAAAGATGGCTGAGAGCTTTTTATCTTTCTCAGGGTCGCATGATCAGCTGGTGTCACCCTCAGCCTGCCTGGTGGTTGGAAAGGTGGTCAGAGGAGGAACGGGTCTGTTTGAACTGAAACAACCTCTGCAGTAGTTTCCATCACGCTGAGTGTACTTCCTGTTTCAGCTCGCTCTGTCGTCAGGTTAAACGTGCTCATCGCAAAGATTCAAACCAAACAAAAACTCATCCTCAGCTGTATCATATGGAGCAGTTTACTCTGGTCTGAAATGCAGGTCCACACTGAATGTAAACAAAACACTGCTGAGTTTACGTGCTCTACGTTAGGCTGGTCTGTGTAGGTGAATAAATATGGCAGTAACTTTAATGGCTGTGCTGAATGTTTAGTTCAAGGACACGCTGATGAGGAAAATGCGTGGATTACATTTATTTTGTGGATTCCTTGTCTTGTCTTCATGACTTTATGATGAGTGCCTTTAAATTTCTATAAACCATTATGCTCCTGAGCATATTGCATTCTGCAGATTGGCCATTTCCAACAGACTATTTAAAAAAGTTAAAATTTTGTTAGAAAAAATTAAATTTCACGTTTCTTGATGCTTGTATTTAATAATAAAAAGTATATAGTAAAGCTGTGATTTGTTGTTTTTCTCGTAGTTTGGTCAGTTTTTTGTTGTGAGGCGTTAAAAGTTCAGAGCCTGACAAGTACTGTAATCGTTGGTTACGTACTGTAACCCCAGATTCTATGAGTACAGGCGTAGCCTGTTAAGAGTTGTCGCTTAGTGGGTTTATCCTGTCATGCGAAGCATTGCACTGAAAAGTTTAGTCCATGCCCACCTGCTGTGTGGGCCCCACCCGGTCCGTATAAATTACGTTAAGAGCGGGTAATCGGCTCCCAAATAGCTTTTTCTTCAGCCATTTAGGAGCCAGTGAGGCCCGACGCTTAAAGGGCTACGCTTATACTCATAGAATCTGTGGATACAGTACGTAACCATCGTTCTATTTCGTATAGGCTTCGCCCTTTAAGAGCTGTCGCTTAGTGGGTTAAGGGCGAAGCAGATGTGGTCCTCGCTTCACTGGGTCCATTCGAACACCATACGAAGCGGCAGCTTGCCCAAAAAACGTCTTGTCACTCAGCTCTCCATGTGCGTAAATACATGTTGCATAATTATGCGTACTATGCACAGACGCATGCTGTAGTTATGCGTTCTGAGTGCATGAAAGCCCCGGAAAACTTTCAACAGGGAAAGGAAGATGCTGAAAAAGGGCCATGAATCAACAGATTCACGGCTGAACAATATGAACAGAGTAATAATAACAAGTGAACTGATTATTAATCAAATGAACTGATTGGTAACAATAGTCATGAACTGATTAGTGACAATAGAACCAAAATAACAGTCACAACATGTGGCTGATAACCTCTCACACTGTAATGCATGCAGACAGATGTGAGTTAAACGGAGTTCCATGAAACAACAATAATCATTCTGTTAAAACACTAAGGACAGAATGTGTCATGGAACGAGCCGACACATCACGTAGATAAAAGCGAATTAATGAGCAGGGTGTTGACCACGCGGCCGCAGTGCAAATATCCTGCATTGTCATACCATTATGCAAAGCAGTTGAAGATGCGATACCTCTGGTCGAGTGCGCCCTGAGGTTGACAGGAGGCTCTAAACTGATGGTCTGTAGGCTTCAGAAATGGCCTCACACAGCCAGTGTGACAGGTGCTGGGTGGATAACGGGCAGCCGGCAGATGCATCTCTTTAATGCACAAACAAATGTTGAGTTTGACGCATTGCAGCTGTGTGCGCTATGTAACACGTCAACGCCCGCACAGGACAGAGCAGATGGAAAGATGCTTCTTCTTCTGATCTGTGGTGGGGAAGGAAAAACCCCTCCAACGATATCGCTCTTGATTTAAAAGAGCTCGTGATGTTTTTAGGCATAAAAGCTGGGTTTGGTCTTAAATCAGGTGAGCTGCCATCAGCCTGAATTCTAAGACATGACGGAGCGACAGAGAGGGCAGATAAATCACTCACTCTCTTAGCGGATGTTAAAGCCAGCAGCAGGGCTGTTTTAAGAGACAAGAATTTAATTGGAACCTGATCCAGAGGCTCGAATGGAGCTTTGATCAGGGCCCGCAGAACCAGCGTTAAATCACACTATGGAGCAAGTGGGCGTGAAACAGGCCTGCGTCTCTGTATACCTTTAAAAAAACGTTTAATCAGCGGATGATTAAAAGCTGTTCTGTCTCCGAAACCTTCGTGACAGGAAGAGATGGCTGCAGCGTACGTTTTAATCGTGTTGGACGCCAAATTTCTGTCCATCAGCTGCTGCAGAAAGGACAGCACTCCACCTAGTAGACATTAGGTGGCCTCTACACCTTTCTCTGTACACCAGCGCTGAAAAACTGTCCACTTTGATGTGTACAGCGCTGTGGTGGATGCAGCACGTGAATCCTGGATTGTGCGCACTACATCTTGCGGGAGACCCATCCTCTAAGCGGATCCGCTCAGCGGCCAGACCCATAGGTGCTGGCCTATTTCTGGGTAACTCCTGATCGCTCCTCCCGCCTGGAGGAGAGTGTCCTCCCTCCACGGCAGTTTCCACGGGCGCCCCGATAACAGGTGTCGTAGAACCGGGAACCATGGTGCGTTCACGCACTCGGGAGCCACCAAGAGAGCTGTCAATCCCTCCTCCTGAACTTGGTTCAGAAACCGTAATATCAGAGGAGGTGGGGGGAACGTGTAAAGAAGCGTTTTGGGCCATGGGCTGTGAGCAAATGCGTCCACCCCCAGCGGTGGTTCGTCTCGCGGGCTCAGTGAAAATCATAGCGTTTTCTCGTGTCGCAAACAGGTCCACAGCCGCTTTGCCAAATTTCTGCCACGTCTGGGCCATCAGATCGGGGTGGAGAGTTCAGTCCCCGTGACGCGGACCGCCCCTGGACATCACATCTGCCCCTTGTTCAAAACACCGGGGATGTACACTGCTCTGATGGAGAGCAGATTTTGGTGTGCCCAACGTAGTTTTCTCGCAATGTGAACATTTGGGCTGAGCGCACACACCCCTGCCAGTTTATGTAAGCAGCAGTAACCTTGTTGTCTGTGTGAATCAAAACGTGTTGATTCTGTAACACAGGAGCAAAGTGCTGAATCATTCAGAACCGTGCGACATTCCAGAACGTTTGTGAGCTGTTGTGAGAGAGGCCATAGCGCCCCTACAGCTCAAGATAGGCATGTCACCCCCAACCTGACAACGACGCGTCTGTGAAGACTGAACCCCCCAGTATACTGCCGCGTACATCCATACGCAGAGGTACGCACGTACGTACGCAGAGGTACGTGTGTACCCCCCAGCGTACCCTCCGTGCAAAGCTCAAATTTTTACGACCGCATACGTGTATGCGGTGTCGCACAATAAACTGCCCAGCGACGGACTGTTTTGTATGCGACACCAATGTATTAAATTCCCCTTCTTCATCCCTGATCTGGCCTTTTTTTTTTTTTTTTTTTTTTTGCCAAGAGGCAGTGATCTCTTCCTCCTCCGTTGATGCCGTGACTGAAATGGTGAGAAATGGAGGAATTTGTCACGAGTGAATTAAACTCAGGTCCAGCATGGCTGCGGGAAGGTCTGGAGATTTCCTGGTGGGCTGGTCTGATGTGTGGGCTGGTCTGATGTGTGGGCTGTAGAGCCAGTGCTCTGTTTTTTTTTTTAGATATTTTTATTAACAACGCCAGTGCTCGCTTTTTTCCGACCTGTCAATCAATCCAGTAGGTGAGTCAGCAAATGACCAATCGTCGACCTCAATTTGTCTCGAAGGTAAACGCCCCTTGTCTGTGAAGCTGCTCTGCAGCTGCTGGGAGTGTACGCTGGAGTATCATGTCTGAACCCTCTGCGTACAGTACACGCGTACGTACACGTGAACGGACATATGCGCCAGTATACTGGAGCCTTGACACGTGACGGAGGTCTGCTGACGGGGACTCCCTCCGACAGAACCAGGGGTTTTTCCCAGTGTCGGAGATCTGTTCTCACGGAGGGAGGAACAGTGATCATCCGTCTCTTTTGCTTTATCGGATCCACGCGCAGACGAGCAAAACCATCTCTGGAGGCGTCGCATGTGTAGTAAGCCCTGGGGGCCACTGTGTGAGCTGACGACATTGTTCCTAACAGCTTCATGACGGAAATAGCTGTTACTTCTCTGCCCGGTCTTACGTGGCGGAGCTGGACTCTTAGAGTGTTAATTCTCGTCTGTGATAAATGAATAAACGAGCCCTCATGGTGGTCAAGTTTAGCTCCACTCCCAGATAAACAATCGTCTGGGCCTGGAGAATCGAGCTTTTTTTCCAATTTATGGCGAAGCCCAGAATTAGCAGGTGTGATGTCAACACCTGAGCCTGTGCCGCTGCTTCCCGTTGTCAACATGTGAAACGGTCTGCCCACGATCGCCTTGTTGAAAACTGACAGGTCCAAAATCGGTCTCGTTCCTCCGGTCCGTTTTGGAACCAGGAAGTAACGTGAGTAAAAAAAACTGTGTTTTTCCTCTCCGTCGGGAGCCCTGGAGATTACCTCTTTTACCAGAACTTCCTGGACTTTTGCATTTAGGGATGAGACTTGGTCTGGTGATGATAGGACCGTCTCTAAAACTCCTCCAAACGGAGGGGGTCGGGCTGCAAGTTGCAGCGTGTAACCCCTGCTTATCAGCTTGGCCATCCATCTGTCTGGTGAGCATGCTCGCAGCCACTCCGCATAACATTCGTGGAGTGGGCGCACGTTTAGGTCGTGCGTCATGTTTTTACGGACGTCAGCCAGTCTACCGCCTCGACCGTCATCATGCGCCGCGGAAGTGTGTTCCACGTGACCCAAGGCGAGGCTTCCTCGAAAGGGCTCTGAGCGTGCCTCTGTGCCGCGCTCAGGCTGCGGGTTCACATTCATGTCTATGTAGACCTGCGTGTGTTGAGGCGAGGTGTGTGAAAACTGTTGGCGCTGCGGGAGCGTGCGTTTGACAACACTGCAGTGAGACGCGTGCCGCTCCTGCTGAGAGCGAGGTTCTTCACTGGGCTCGTTCTGCGGTCTCACATTTATGCTGACGCGAGCGCTGAGAAGTGGTGTGCGCGCCTTCATCAATGCCGCGTCATTTGAATGAAGGCTGCAGGCGCCGCGGAAGCACGCGTTTGCTTCGGTGAGGTGCGTGCCGCTCCTGCTGAGAGTGAGGTTTCTCACTGGGCCCGTTCTGCAGTCTCACATTTATGCTGATGCGAGCCGGTGAGCGCTGGGGAGCTGTGTCCGCGCCTTCATCAACGCAGCGCCGTTTGAGTGAAGGTTGCTCGCGTCGCAGGAGTGCGCGTTTGACACCGCTTCGATGAGAAGTGTGCAGCTCGGGCTGAAAACGAGTTATTCCACTGAACTCATTCTGCGGACCACATTCGCTTTCGACTGTTGTGTCAAGCGAGCGTCTCGTCTTTATTTTGGAGCAGCGGTGATTCTGAAAAACTTTTTTTAAAGGCCACTGGCTCATTTTGTGTGGAGGATGTGTGAAGGAGCTGCTGTGAGGTCATCCGAG